CTGGGTGCAGAGGAAAAAGGTATCCAATATATGGATATCAAATGACAGCAACTAATCAATTTTTCTCATCAACTTCGGGCAAATTTAATAAAAGTGCCAAATTGGCAAACTGTATTCCTGATCTTTGGACATGTCTGTGGTCTATCCATCTTTTCCAACTGACTGTTAATGAACTTAAGGACTCTAGTAATAAAAATGGGCAACTCCTGCTAACCCAAAGCCTGCTAACCCAAACTTCTAATACAGAAGTTTAACGAGTTGAGAAATGATCAGAAAGGAGTAGAAAGATATGACCATCAAGTGCAATCAAGAGATCACCTAAAGCCGTGATGGCAAACATATGGCACGCGTGCCAGAGGTGGCACGCAGAGCTCTCTCTGTGGGTGTGCGCACCATCGCCCCAGCTCAGCCAGCTGGTCACCAGGTTTCCGAGGTGCACATGCACACTGGCCAGCTGGTTGTCAGGTTTCCGGCACTCTGATGTGCGCATACCTTCTGGTTTTGGCACTTTGTGCCTAAAAGGTTTGCCATCACTGATCTAAAGGCAAATGGTGCAGTTTTGCTATTGAAGGATGATTAGACACGAGGCCTCATAACTCTGAGTCCCTGAGAAAATTAGAGGAAAACTGTCTTCCCCAACCCATTCAGTCTTTCTTCATATACTCCAAACTGCAGCCAAAAACATGTCCTGTTACACACACACACACCTTTATTTCATCCCAACCCATGAGGGAAACAAGTTTCTTGTTTCTACCGGTGTTAAACTGCCATTTCACCCTGATTTTGATGCTGTTCTAGGATAGCCTCAAGATATATAAAATCTGTTAGCCTTTGTCATCTTATACCTCCTTCTCTTGGGGTAATGTCAGCTGACTGCAGTGGCTTGTAAGAGAAACAATAAAGACGTGATAGGGATTGGCAATAGGAGACAATCAATTTCACACCATTGTGATTTTTCTGGTGAGTAGCACATTCTTGAGGCCAAAATAAAGATATGAGAACTGAGGGCAGCCCCAAAATCCTAGTTACCCCCCTGTAGTTCTACTACAGCAGATCAAATAAAGATATAGCAGTGTTGAGCTGAGCCCAGCAGCAGTATACTTCCTGAGACTTAAGATAAATGATGCGTCCGCTAATAAATTTAAAATGGCATTTTGCCATTATAATGTCTGTTGCCTCATGTTCAGTCTGTTAGCATAAATAACCATTAAATCTTTCTTGGCAAGGCTACCACTTTGTTAGCTTTAGCCAGTAAAACCATTCATAGATTTGTGTTATGACATCCATAATTACAGAAATAAAGGGCATAAAAAGGATAATTCCTCAAATCATGGTATATTGCAAAATTGCTCTTTTTCCTCTTCAGATAAACCAGCAGTCAATTTATCAAGTCCTCAAAATAATTTTTTAAAGGAAATTCCAAGAATAAAAAATGCTTCATAGGTTTAATAAGATTTTAACCTAAGTGAGGAACTCTAACAATTAATATTTGTTGCTATTTTACATAATAGGCACAACCCTTGGATTATTCCCCTCCACAAGATATGAACAGAAGCTTTAGAAGGGTTTATGCATGAGAACGTCCTAGTTAATTTTGCCTATTAGCTTCTATATTTTATTCACATAAATCTCTTGCTCTTTATAGTAACCTATCACAGACCATTTCCATAAGGATAATGCTCTGTTATATGACTCCCCATGGATATCTAATTGTCCTTGGGACTAATTCAATTCCAGACCAACATGTCCTTGGTTAACTTATCTAAAGGCTTTAGAGTTCCTATACAACCCCATCAGATTTCTGTTAGTTATCCCCAAATCCATCCTTCCTTCCTTCCTTCCTTCCTTCCTTCCTTCCTTCCTTCCTTCCTTCCTTCCTTCCTTCCCCCCACCCTCCCTCCCTCCCTTGTAGTTTTTATTTTCTCTAATCGCATAGTAAGATGTTCATGTGAAAAGTAATCCTGGCTTCATACAGATATATACCATTTAAATATATATCTGAGCACATACAGTATCTCTTGTTTCATATATCCATCTGCCCCATTTTGATGTACACATCATTATAATTAATTAACCCATTATGGGGGTGCGAGGTTGAGGGGGCTGAGGACTAGGTTAGTCCAAGGACAGCTGGTAAATTAATGAACTAGGTCAGATTTGAGTCATGAATTTTCTGATTGGTAAGTCAGCCTCTTGAACCACATTGTTACATCAGCTGGTCACATTGATATTGCAAACATGTTACCATTTACCTGTACTGCATCACTGAAAAAGTGTGCATGCATATGTATATGATAGTTTGTGTTTCTGCATGTGTAGCACTGTAAACTAAGTTCTCACAGAGTTCTGTCAGCACCTTTTATGATGGTTGAATCCATGCTCAAATAAAAAGAAATTGAACAACAGTATGAAAACAACAGGATATGAGAAAGATTTTCACAGTGCTGTAGCCTATCCTTCATCTCTAAGCATTACTGCACAGACCCTCATGTTTTCCACCTTTAAGAACAATACTTTGATATTCCAACAAAACTGCAATCCTATAGATGTCTATTCAATAGTAAGCCTTGCCAGAATTTATTTAGTAAGACCTATTCCTAAATTGGTGAATTTAGAATTATTTTGCTATATTGCAATAAAAACGCCGGAAAAACCTCAGGCTAGACAATTACAGAAAGTTTGGTCCTTGATTGGGAATAAATTGCCAATCTTTGTCCTTAGCTAGAAAAAAAAACCCTCAAGACCCTGTGAAAGAGCATCAGGGACATAATGACCAATTTACAGGTGAATGGTGAGACAGAGTGCTTTTAAATAACCACAAGCTTTGGAGAATGCAGCAGCCTCTCCATCACTAGATAATGCACACTTCCTTTAAAAGAAGCAGCAACACATTCTGCCATCTCGACACTATCCAAATTTTGTCTTGTGCATGGGAAATTTCATGTCTCACAAAACTAGCCCAGGTTTCTATAGCACAAAGTTATCTTTTTAAATAGTTCTCTTGAATGCTGAGAAGTCCATGGGTCGGTTAGTTAGCATGTTTATTTATCATTTCGGCTTATAATGATGCTCCATTTCCCAGGATTCCAAACAGTTTATAAATAAGAACCCAATGTTAAAACATAAAAAAAGTATTAACATAGACATAACAAGAGGCCTCTGATGTATCACTATCTGGGCAGCAGGACCTTCAAGCATGCTCAGATGAAGAGTTATGTTTTCACAACTCCTCAAAAATATAATAGCGAGAGACTAGACTGAATGTAGGCTGTTCCAGATGCAGCTGGGAAATAATTCAGGCATGAGTGACCATGAGCAGTGTCTCCCAATCTACGCACAAATCTAACTGGCCCTCAAGATGAGTCTGTGCAAAAACTTTCCAGCTGTTGATATGATGAAATATATATCTGCAGGAGCAGCGAGGAAGAATTTTGGCAACACAAAGCTTTCCCTGAAAGAGATCTGGATTAAGAGTCTGCATAGTCTCGAGCTGGATGGGGAAAGGAAGAAAAGGTTCATAATAGCCCTAGGATCCCTCAGGATATATCTAGTAGGTTAGGGTTAGAGTTTATAGCTTTAGTTTAGCAAGATTCTGTCCACTGAGAGTAAGTGAATAAAGGATTAAAATTGATTGGGTTTTTTTCCCCAGTGTTATCTCTTGTGCCTAACAGCTACCAATTTGTCAAGCAGGGGCTCGGAGCCCAGGAGGAAGGCTGTGGGAAAATGTTACCCCATTCAGAAATAACAAAGGAAGGTCTCTAGATTCAAAATAGGCACAAATGTTGCTAGAGATGAGTTGAAGCATATTTTTCCCCATTCCGATCTTCATAGGATCCAGATGCTGGAAAAGGACCTTGGTAGCATTCTTGGTCAGCTCAGGGCAAAGATTATGTAACTGAGAATCAGATGTACTGCTGATTAGTGATGCTCCTAGTAGTGTTTTGTAGAAGTTAAAAAGAAATGAGAAGAGAAATGAAGAGATGAAGTAGAGGTTTTGTGTAGACCTCTGTTCTTTCAACAGCAGTGATTGGGACCACAAACCAGCCTTGGAGGAAAAAGACCCACCAAATGCCCCTCTTGCCCAAACCCTTTAACCTTTTAGTCCAGAGCTGATATCATAATTGAGAGTATCAAGAGCTGCCAATTTTTTTTTTGCACAATACCTGTGCTAAGATATACAACCCACATCCTGAACCCACCAAATGTCAATCACAAGCACAATGAATAATATCTCAATTCTATTAATCATAATTACCAGATAATGATTTGACAGGGAAAGGGTTTGATGAACATGTAAGTAGATACCGTAGGTCAACTCACAGTTGCCATGGTGACCATGAGGTTTCCCCCATTCCCAGTGAATTGAAACCTTACAGCTTATAAATTTTTTAAATGAAACTTATTGCTGATTCCAGTAGCAACTAATGTCAAGGTCAAGAAACTCAAGTAGGGATGAAGTTGTATAACATGGAGGCCAGTAAAAGCAATGCCCTAACTTTTTCCCTGGAGCCCACTCTTGAACAAACAATAACTCACAAATTATCTAAACAACAACACCCTTGATTGCCTGCAGAGTATCCCAGATGACAATCACAACTTTACTTCCCTCCCCTGGAGTTGTAGCTGATACAACTCTTGAAAAACAGATGGACATATATCTGAGGGTGGAACAGGCGCTTGTCACAGTTATATCTGCTCTGACATTCAGGTTCAAGTAAGATTTCCAATCCAGCGCAATTTTCTTCTTTGCCCAATACTTTATGTCCTTCAAATGTTCTTCCTCCTTTCATCCCCTTTACAACCCCTGAGAGCTGTTAAAATGCAAACTCTGCAATCAAAGTTTATGATGCAGATGAAGCAACCTTTTGAAAATAGTTCCAAGTGCAGAATTTTCCTGGCCACAACAGAATCTTTACTATCACTTCTCCACACTACTGATACTTGCTTTTCTCTACCCTATTGTGTCTCAGTGTAAAGAAGGTAGCAGAAATGAAGCTTACCTTTGCTAATATCTTCATATTCCAGCCAGAGCTGTTTTTGGACTTGTTTGTTGGGATACCAGATAGAGCAGGATTCCTCAAATCCATAGACAGCTTCCTGTATATAGTGGTTGCCAAAATGGTCCAGCAGAGCCACAAAATCTCCCCGAGATGTTGCTCCATCCAGAGAATGAAGGGCATTGCCAAATGCTGCAGAGAACAGAAGTACAGCAAGCAAGAACTTAAAAGAGAGAGAGAAAGGCAGAGAGGGCAGGCAGGCAGGCAGACAGACAGAGAGACATTTTTCTACCACATTTAGATGCTTCTGGAAGCTCACAAGCAGGTTAATAATCCTTGCTCTCCCCAGTACCCGACAGTCTATATGTAAAAATAGGTTAACTGTATTTAATAGAACTGATATTTAAACAGGGTCAGTGGCTATTTCCAAATGTTTCAGGATCGAATTCAGTGCGCAAAGAAGTAAATTGCCTTGATTTTAGCCTGATAAAAATGTTTAATTTTAGTAGCAAGCTCTTAGTTGTTTGTGGGGTGATGAGGAAACAATAAAAATTGCTCACCAAAAAATTGTTATAGCATCAGTTCTCAAAAATTAAATTGCTACCTTTGATTGAATAATGTTATGTTTCTAAGGAACATTGTATATAGAGTTGCTAAGAAAATATCAACGCCCTATAATGAATGGAATAGATAAAGATTTTTCTCTATTAAAGTACTTCTTTCAATATTCAGATAAACTGTCTCTGCTCAGACATTTTTATTTAAGGTCGAGCTTCTGAGACTGAATACCCTGTGTGAAGCCACAGCAACATCTGCAACAGTGCCATCCTACGTGACCTGCTGGTCTATTTCCTGATGTTTTTCATCAATCATTTTGGGGAGAAAAAGCTTAAATATTTCTTAAAAGGATAAAAAATTACATGATGAACAGACAATATATGACATGGAATTTTGGCACCCTGTTTGTGGTCTTTTCCAAGCTGCTCCTAGAGAAGATTAAGACATCCCATTTGCTTTATTTCATCTACATGTTTTAAGATGCATAGGAGCAGGGGTGAAATCCAGCAGGTTCTGACAGGTTCTTGAGAACCAGTAGCGGAAATTTTGAGTAGTTTGGAGAACTGGCAAATACCACCGCTGGCTGGCCCCTGAGTGGGGTGGGAATGGAGATTTTGCAATATCCTTCCCCAAGGAGTGGGGAGGGAATGGGGATTTTGCAGTATCCTTCCCCTGGAGTGGGGTGGGAATGGAGATTTTGCAGTATCCTTTCCCTGCCACCAAGCCACCCCACGCCCACCAAGTCACCCCCACATAACCGGTAGTAAAAAAAATTGGATTTCACCACTGCATAGGAGGGTCAAAGGGCACCAGATATTCAAGAAGGCAAATGTGATAGAACTCTGAACGAAGACCCTTAAAAATGTATTTAGTCTGCATTTTCAGCAAGCTCATTTGCACTCTGCAGACTTCCACTGTACTCATTTTTTCTGCTTTTATAATTCTTTGAATTGTGCAGCATGATTTTCAATGGAAAGAAATGCAAGCTGTACACAAAATGCATACCTTAGGATAAAATGTCATGATTTTAGTATACAATATAAAACCATAATACGCACTTTAATGTGAAAATGGTTTAGAATGGAACTATGAATATATGAAATTAGTATTCTCCAGATCAACTGGAATCACTAAATCACTAATCACTAAATTGCCATCCAACATTGGAATTGGGATTCAACAGATCTTTTGGGTATACAACCAGACAGATCTGTTCCCTTCTAACTCTTACTTATGAAATTGCTGATGACTGACTAAAGGAAACAGTGATGTCCAGGGCGAATAAAAAGTTAGAATGGCCGCCTTTTTGGCTGCTGTCCCCCACCCCCACCCCACTCCTGCTGTGATACTATGGTCAATCTAAAGCCACCTCACCAAGTACTGGGCATAACTTACACTGAGAGGTGGTCATTTGATTCAACCGAACATGGTACATGACAGAGCGAACCTTCCAATGTTGTAGCAAAGGATATCCAGAAATCTCACTGAAATTCACCATCCCTGTGGAAGAAACCATGGGCAAAATAAGAAAGGCAAAGATACTCAGCATAAATCATTTGCAACGTAGCGGTATTCTAAATCTGACATAGAATCTGAATTGATTTCCCCCTTCAGCAGAATCACAAGGGAAGTACATTTCTCACACTGAGCTATTTTAGGCTGCAGATGAAAAATCTGTTTGTTACAGTCACCTTATCCTGAATTTATAAAGCAGATTCAGAAGAAATTATCTGTTTGATTTATTTTTCCTATGGATGTGGCAAAGAAGCGGTGATGCATTATGGGCCTGTCTCACCGTAGCCTGCCAGACCTCTCCCTGGGATTTCAATACAGGTAGACTTTGACTTACAACCATTCGTTTAGTGACTGTTCAAACTACAACGGCACTGAAAAAAGTGACTTCTGTCTGTTTTTCACTTACGACCATTGCAGCATCCCCATGGCCACATGATTTACATTCAGATCAGTGGTGGGTTGCTCCTGGTTTGCACCGGTTCACAAGAACCGGTAGCAAAAATCTGTAGTAGTTCAGAGAACCGGTAATAACATTGGCTGGCCACGCCCCCGAACCGGTCCCTGCCCAGTCACCGCTCGCTTACTCCGCCCACCTCATCAGAGGCTTTTTTTGTTTTACTTTTAAAAGCATTGTTTCTACAACCTCTTCGGCCGAAAAAATGCTTTTAAGAGTAAAAAAAAGCCTCTGATGATCGTGCGGCTCAGCTGGGATCGTCAGAGGTTTTTAAAAGCATTTTTTCTACAACTTCTTTGGCCGAAGAGGTTGTAGAAAAAAAAATGCCTTTAAAAGACTCTGGCGATCCCAGCTGAGTTGCCTGATTGTCAGAGGCTTCTAAAAGCATTTTTTTCTGCAACCTCTTAAGGTTGTAGAAAAAATGCTTTTAAAAGTAAAAAAAAAAAAAAAGTTGGCCACGCCCACCAGTCACATTACCCCCCCACCAAGCCACACCCAAAAATAAGCCATGCCCACAGAACCGGTAGTAAAAATTTTTAGAACCCACCCCTGATTCAGATGCTTGACAACTGGCTCATATTTACGACGGTTTGCAGTGTCCCAGGGTCATGTGCTCACCTTTTGCGACCTTCTGACAAGCAAAGGCAATAGGGAAGCCAGATTCATTTAACAACTATGTTATTAACTTAATAACTGCAGTGATTCACTTAAAAACTATGGCAAGAAAAATTATAAAATGGGGCAAAACTCAGTTAACAACTTAGCAATGGAAATGTTGGGTTCAATTGGGGTCATATGTCGAGGGTTACCTGTACTCTCACGCTGTCTACATGAGTGCTAAGATATCTGGGTATGAATCTAATCCATGTAGAAGTGTCTTCTTTTACCATTTGTTCTTACAATGGGAAATGCCCCTCATCTGGATGGGACAGAACAGGAAATCCTCTAAACTGTCTCCTTTTAAAGACCAGGACTAGGTGGACTTGGGGTATTAGGCCCGATTACAAACCCAACCCAAATCAGAGCAGATATAATATTATCCAAAACTGAACGAGCAGCAGCAAATAGAAATAAATCCTTTTCATATAGTTCAACTATACCTTCCCAGGTAACTTTACTTCAGTAGTCCAAGTTCTCCCAGGAGTTTCTGATATCAGCCTAAATTCCTCAGTTTAGTCCTATAAAATATGTTTTCTTAAGGTGCTCACTCACTGCAAGGCTTCTAAGCAAGATTCAGAGAACAAAGAAATACTCTGTTTCTTCTTCCCTAATCCGATTTCCTTGCCCCTGACTGGAGAAGACAGTGGCTGTGATTGGCCAAGGAAGCTATTAATTCAAAATTAAGAGACCTTAGTTACAGCTAGGCAGCAGTCATTCAAAATTAAAGTCCCCGTAATGAGTACAATGTGTAAGTTTTTTACCCTCATTACAAAGCATTTAAAAAACTATTTATTTATTAAACAAAGTATATGGCTGCGGCAAACAGGAATTGACAATGAATAAGAATGAAAACTTAATACAGTTATCAAACCAATTTAAAGTAAGGACAAACGAAAGCATTCAATTAGAATCCTCGGCCTTGATTCTATAAAATACTCTTATTACCATTTCTATTGAAAATCAAAGCTGATGCATATTACTTTCTGCAGACTACCCATTTCTCCTACCCATATTCATATATGTGCCTGTTTCTTTATTTATTCGATTCAGAGGCTGCCTAATTCCTTAGCATCTTTGGGCATTTTACCTATAGCCATTAGATTATCAATGTTTCTTTATGGTGGGAAATTACGCACTGGAATCAACTTCAATAAGAAAAAAAAATACAATCATACCTTCTGAGACTCATATTCTCTACACTAGAGAGGTCTCTAGGACATTTCTTAGATTAGAGACTGTGCTGATTAATAGCAAAATAAGAGTTTAGCAATTCTGTCTGTCTGTCTGTCTGTCTGTCTGTCTGTCTGTCCTATCTATCTATCTATCTATCTATCTATCTATCTATCTATCCAGCCATCCAACTATCATCTATCTCATCCGTAGTCTTCAATTTACAATGGACTTCCCAAAACCTACTCATGATCCAGTTTTAAAGTTATACCCATTGTAGCACCCCTGTAGTCACATGGGCAAAATTCAGATAGATTTGCCCTTTCAATTGACTGCAGGGCTCCTGCAGCGCTTCTTCCTATCTCTCCCCCATCCTGCCCCACCAGTTCCTCACAGGAATAGGTGAAGAGAAGATTGTGGGATCCGATAGGGTAGGAAGCAGGCCTGATTTTCTTAAAAATATGGGTTACAAAAAAGCCATGGAGATTATTATATAAGCATTAGAAAATACTGCTCTTCATCATAACTTCAGCAGCCCCCAGGTTACATCAACACCTCATCAAGCTGAAGGTAACACAACCTGCATGCTATTTCAGTTATCCTATATCTATCACTGATAGGATTTTTCCAGAGCACATATAATGTCGTATATTTTGCAATTATGGATCCCAGATGTAAAAGAATTCCTGTAATGCTTCAGCAATGCCTTTGTGTCTCTCAGGGTCTTCAAACTCTAAACATGTTTTTCTAAGGTATAATATTTAGGTGGAATTGCATTTTTAATTAATCTATCCTGGAAAGACTGACTGGCACTCCAATCAGCATTATCAAAAAGTTTTCTTAAATGACCAGTATCTGACCTGAACTCATCTCTTAATTGCTAAGTTTTGTGCCTTGGCCATACCCACATTTTTTTTCTCCCAAGGAATTGTTTTATTGCATCATAAGATATGAACAATATATTATAAAATAAAGGTATTAGCAGGGTATAGCAGGGTACAGGTATTAGCAGGCAATTCAGACAAGAAACTGTTAATACTATGATGGTTTAGATAATTTATTAGATAAATTAAACTTTTAAATATAAGAAGAAAAAGTTTACATCAATCTTAAATATAATTTCTAAAATGTTAAAAGAAAAAAAGGAGCTGTTTGGAAAAGTAGATAAGTAATTGATTTCTAACATTATTCTTTTTTATACTTTTTTATACAGAATATTTTTATATATTCTGAAATTATACCTATTAAAAATTATAAATTTCATTTCAAATGTAATTTCTAAAATACTATAGATGGTGTTACATATTTTTGAGATTTTTTTTCTTTTTTTACTTTACATGTCTACCATATTTGTTAAAATATGCCTTGTGTTTCATGGTATTTCCAAAGATTTGTTAATTGAAGCACATCGTACTGTGAATTGTACTTGGGTTGTTTGAACTTACATTGCATTTATTTTGGACTATAATAAACATACTATTATTAATATATGTGTTTATTTATTAAAAACAGGCATCAAAATATTTCAATGGAGTTTACAATCAAATATATGTGGTGCAAGGCAAGTTTTAACATAAATTCTAATTTAGAATTTGGTTTCAATTTTTTTTTTGGTCTGGAAAAAAAACACATTTGACCTGAAATCAACATTCTTGTATCAAAATTCTTTATCATATTCTGAGAAAAATGAATAGTGGTTCTATTTCCATGAACCATTCATAACTTTGATCACATTCCAATAACATATAAATCATCCCCTTGCAATTGTTTTTGGTTAATTTTTTGCAGATCCTTTGAGATTATGCTTATTTCTTAGACTTTTATACATCTTGTAACTGAGCCAAGGAAAGCAACCATTTGCTGCATAATAAATAATTGTGTCCAGTTTCCCAGGCACAATAGTTCAAACTGCAAACTGGCCAACATGCTTACTAATTAAATGCTCCCTTAGAGAGCAAAAAAATCCAAAGAAAAGTTATAAAGGAGGCAAATATATGAAAGAAGACTTCATAAAACAGGGACTTTTTTGTCTTGGAGGATTAGATAGAGAAGACAGGACATTCTATGGTAATTATACCAAAGAAATGTCTATAGGTGCTTTTCAGTAATTAAGAATAGCTTGGAAAGGTTTTTCTCCCTGTCTTAATATACTAAGTCTCTCCTGCCTCTAGTTCCTCAGTGCAGTTCTGGCTATGAGGTCAATCACAAGACATTGCCTTATAGTATTAATTTTTCTACTAACTACATTTTCATGAACATTTTTATATGTGCTGCCATGGAAAACAAATCACAATCTTAGTTGAAGCCATGGGATGTGGATACAGATAGTTAGAAATCTCAGAACATGTGCAGGAGTGACAAAGGAAGCTCCACCAAGTTTTTATAGTTGATTTAGATGAGAAGATAAAGAAAGGTTCATCAAATCCTCAAACAACACAATGCTGGGAGGGATTGCTAATACCTCAGAAGGCAGGCTCAGTGTTCAAAGGGACATTAGGCCCTTCCCTACAAAATACTGTTCAGTAATGAAAAGTATCTATTTCTGCATTTTGGGCAATACAAGATAGGTGGTACCTAGCTCAACAGTAATGGGCAGGATCTTTGTAGACCATAAATTAAACCTGAGTCATCACAGAGATGTCTTGGACTGCATGAAAAGTATAATGTTGAAATCATGGGAAATGATAGTTCCACCATATACAGTGGCAGTTATACCACACCTGGAATACCTCTCCAAGCATCTGTCCAGTTTTGGTCACCACAATACAAGAAAGATATTGAGGAACTGAAAGTATGCAGAGAAGAGCAACCAAGACAATAAACTGCTTGGAGAAAAAATATGATGAAAAACAGTTTAAGAATTGGGCATGTTCAGCCTAAAGAAGAAAAGGCCTAGGGGGGACAAAATAGAAGTCTTCTAATACTTTAATGACTCTGGATTTATTCTCCACAAGCTTGCAGACAGGGCAAAGCCAAATTGGTGGGAATTTTACAGAGACAGTTCCAAACTCAAAATAAGGAGGAATTTCCTGATCATGAGTGCCATCAATCAATGGAACAACCTTCCTCCTGGGTTGTATTAATCCATCACTAAATGTTTTCAAGCAAAGGTTTGATGATTATGATCTGAGGAGTCCTACTCTGGGCAAAGGATTGGACAAGAAGGTCTGAAGGGTACCTTCCAACTCTATATGTTCTGTGACTGACTCAGATTTTTTAAATGAGCACTACCAAGAGAGGCTGATTAGGTAAGATATTTACCCTTGCAAGTTGAAATAACAAAATTTCCAATTATATTATTATTTCCTTCTTTTGTCATAGCAGGCACCCAATACCTACTAGATATTTAATCCTTACTAATATTGGGGGCGAATCATTGGCCCCCACGGAAAGGGCTCGCAACTTGGGCATCCTCCTGGATACACGGCTGTCTTTAGAAGAGCATATGATGGCCGTGGCCAGGGGGGCTTTTTATCAGGTCCGCCTGATACGCCAGTTGAGTCCCTTTCTAGATCAGGATTCCCTACGCACGGTCACTCAGGCACTCGTCACTTCCCGCCTGGACTACTACAATGCTCTCTACATGGGGCTCCCCTTGGGGTGCACCCGGAGGCTCCAGTTGGTCCAGAATGCGGCCGCGCGGGGGATTATGGGAGCGACGGGGCACTCCCATGTGACACCTCTCCTGCACGAGCTGCACTGGCTTCCTGTGGTCTTCCAGGTGCACTTCAAGGTGTTGGTGACCACCTTTAAAGTGCTCCATGGCTTAGGGCCGGGGTATCTACGAGACCGCCTTCTGCCGCCAATAGCCTCCCACCGGCCAGTTTGCTCGCAGAGAGAGGGCCTCCTCAGGGTGTCGTCGGCCAGACAATGTCGGCTGGCAACCCCCAGGGGGAGAGCCTTCTCTGTGGCAGCACCTGCCCTTTTGAACCACCTACCCCCAGAGATACGCACAATACCAGAGCTCCGGACTTTTTGTCGGGCCCTGAAAACACATCTATTTCATCTAGCCGGGCTGGCTTGACCCCATCCTTGCGGTTTTAAATTTGTAATTGGTTTTAACTGGGTCATTTTAAATTAATGGCCAAAATTATTTAATGTTTTTAAATTGCTTTTAAATTTTATATGTTGTATTTTTACTGTGGCTGTTCACCACCCTGAGTCCTGTTGGAGAAGGGCGGTATACAAATTAAAAATAAATAAATAAATAAATAAAAATAATATGTAACCTTCCTTTTCTTATGCCTAAACTAAGTAACTCTGGGGGTGGAAAGAAAGAGAGGTTGAGGGGCTATAAAGCTTGCCTAACAAAAGCAACCCCTTTGTGAGTCATGTCCATGGACTACCTACATTGTCATAGTCCAGACTTACCACACTGCTCTGAGACTCTCAGATACTATAGTTATGGAGTTTATTTGAATAAATGTTTCTTAATTGTAAGCATCCTGGCATCTTTCCTAATGTTCACCTTTTTTAGTATCTGACCTACAATTGCACTAACTAGCAACACAATAATTATTGTTCTATGACAATGTGGAGTATTGCACTAGCACCAAAATAATGTATCTCTTGTTTATATTTTTCATAAGATTTGTTTGACATTTTTGACTCTATACCATCATTAAACTAATTGACCATAAAATATTTGCATTTTTTCTAGTGAGTCATATCTATATTACAAAACATTAAGACTGAACAAACAATAGGATTCAGAAACTGAGATCTGGGAATTTTTATACCACAAGCACTTCTACCCCATATCCACTGTTTCACAAAGCACCAACCCACTATTGATGTCAACACAAATCCTGGCCTTTGCACATATGTATATTAAATGATTTGTCTCACAATGCACATTTTGATTATCCCCTTGCCTCCTACCAAAAGAACCTATGAATTTAAGGAAAAATGCTAATTATAGTAAACTAATAGCTCCAGATAAACTGGAACTAAAACAGAATTATACTGACTCAATTCTAAAACAGATGATAGCATGATAGCAGTTTGAGGACTGACCCAAGACTAATGCAAAAACTAGTGGAAATGACCTCTGAAAGGGATCACTTACCAGTTAGAAAATCTGGATCAGGAGTAGGTTCAGACAGCTCCTCTTGGCACTGATTCTCTAGCGGAACAGTGGCCAACATTAGTCCATCTGGCAGCTGTTGCTCCAAGCCACGAGCAAAGTTATTCATCCTGAAAGTGCCAAATGAGAAGTTCAAAGCAAAAGTCAGTTCACAAAATCCAAACAAATCTATCTATAGCTATTTCCTAAACTAAATTCAGCAGAATACCAATATTCCTTGTACAACTTATACAATACTGTAAATACCTTCAAAGGCTTTGAAGGTTCTGCCATTTTGTCTTCAAAATATATTCATGAAAAGTAGACTGTTCAACACAATTTGAAACCAGATCAAATTATGACAACAGATTGAGTACTTCACCCATCTCTAAGCTTTTCCAAATTTCATTCTAGATGTTGAAATATGCCACCATGTGCAGGCTCATAGATCTCATTAAAATCTATAATCAATATATCAAAGTTAAGTAGAAATAAAGAGTATCATGAAAACATTTTATTTCAATTGTTCCTTTTATTATTATTTTTTCTTTTTTGAAAGGTCGTTCTTCAAAATTGTTTCAAAATCCTACATTTTAAGTCTACATACAGTGTCATCAACATCGAAGGATTCCTCATGACCATTAATGCTGCCAGTGGAGCCTTTCTTTGGGCTCCATTTTTGTCCACCAGCTCTTACAAATTGAAGGATTAAAGAACCGTGTGAATGCAGAACCAGCATGTGTAGAGCTTTTCTTCAAAAAAAAAAAGTTAGACTTGTTGAAATTTCTTTTGCTCCAATAAAAAACTTTACCTACAGAGAAAAGGGCCCCTCACATGTTTTAATTCTTGACTTAATAAGTAAATGAGGATGTGCCAATCACCTGTAAGAAACATCATTAAATAGAACTCTTGTTTCTCCAGACTGTCATTATCTATCTAGAAATTATGATAAATTTGTGATAAAAAGAAAACCAGTGTTTTTCAATAGAATTTAATGGATAACTTCAAGGAGTATTTCTTCTAATCCCATTAAAACTCCTTTATTATACACCTACCCAAGATATCTTTTAAAACATGCAATCGTTTCATAGATAATATGTTCTCTTGATAGATAGCATAATTGCAGAGGGCTCTGCATGAATATTAATATCTTTAGGAATTTGAACAGTACTAGAAAAAGGTCCTTCTAACAGAAGTCATCCATCTCTGAAAGATATTCACTTGAGGTCAAATCCCAGGTCTTACTGAGGCAAGTGAGGAAACCTGGGAATTTTTTTAAAATAAGGTTTTATTAATTTTCTATTGTCTACATTTTGTTAGTGTTTAAATAAACATCGTGTTGTCTGGGTTATTTTATTTGCTTAGCAGTACAGATTGTGTTCTCCACTCCTTTTTTCAACCACTGGTAGAATAAGTTTCAGGTTTGATAATATTCTGTATCTTCTTTCTGTTTAATCTTCAATGTGAGTTGAAGGGAAATTTTAATTTGCAAGCTGCTTTAGCAGAGCTTTGTATTGCTTAACGTATGATGTAAAAGCACTATGAATAACCCGGTGCTGATAAAATACAAAGAACAGGACTTGGAATCCCACAGAACAACAAGCTTTTTTTCTAATATAATCATCACCTGAATGTCCCCTTCAGCACCTGCCCAGGTGCCAACTCACGAGTTTGATTGTTGTAGCCATAGAACATTTCTCCAAAGAGAGTTTGATTCATGGGAAGCTCTCGGCTCTCTTCACAGTCAGCACCCCCTGGACAGGACTCAGAAATTAACTGACAAGACCGGCCATCCATACCTAGCTTGTAATCTTCAATGCATCTGCCAAAGAATACAAGAAAAACTTTAAAATTTTTACAAGATTTCTAAAGAGAAATATGTTTTGTGTTCAAGGAAGAACCTATAGCAAATATGGTCACACAGGTGAAAAACACAGTACCTCTCTTACAGATTTGAAAAATCATGTAAGATTAATATTTAGATCTAATTCCATGATTTTTCATATTTCTGACCTTCAGCAAAACTTTTCCATGCATAACTTTTGCGCCAAGTAATGCCTGATGCTGGAATATTTCTTAAAATGCCCCTACCAATATACATGGAGATAAAAAGAACCACACTGACATTAGTATGTGGAATTCAAATGAAGAAATTATCTCTGTTAATTGAAAAATGGACATAACAAAGTAAGTGAATAACAGAACCACTGAACAACAGTTGAGTGAGATGATCAAAACCTGTTAATCCCTAACTGCAACTTCTACTGAAGAAATTACTAAAATCCAGAACATGAACTGCAACTCAGCAACAACTGGAGGCCCATAGATTTCTTTCTTTTTTTTTTAATGACCATGAAATGTCTCAACCTCTGGTTGCTAAAGACAACTCCTTAATCTGCTATCAGGAACCCTGTTATTAAAATTTTCATGGTAAATAAGAGTTTCTTTCACTGCAACAAAATGTATTATGATAGGATTGAACAAAAGATGTTAAATATTAGTGGTATGCAATACTCTGTCATTCCAAAAAGGTATTTCAGAACATGTAAAGCTATGATTAGAGCACCTGTCTGCAACTCTTTAAAGTAGCTGCATTTAGGATCATACAGCAGCTGCAGAGATAGCTGTGTGATCTTGAGAACCAACAAAATTACTGTACATACAGATAGAGGCTACATTCATATTCTCATGGGCTTTCAGGAATTGAATTTAAGTGCTGGGAAATGTTAATAATTTTCCAGGAAAAAAGAATGAAAGGGTTCATGTGCATACGCCAAACATATGACCCATGATATATATAATTATTGCTGCAGTCAAGGGAACATATATGAAATGTATAAAAAAATTTAAAGACAACCATTGTCATATATACATTTGTATGGGCTACATTTGGCAGGTTTCTTCAGGAAGGAAGACTTATTATTTAGATACCACATTATAGAACAGAAAGCAATAGTTAGACAAGATTTAAATAGTAACAAGGATACGCAGGGAATGGTAAAAAAAAAAAAGTCAAGACGGCAGTCACAACAATGTAATTAAAGCTCTACCTGCAACCCACAATTTTAATTGCACTATCACAGCTGCCACCTTAACTTTTTTCTACTGACAATCTTACATATTAAACTTATTATTATATGGAATAGTCTGGAATTCATTGTTTTGAAATGAGTAGCAGTGAAAGGAAGGGTACAATAAAGCAACCTTGAAATAACACAACATTTGCTACAAATGTGCTACCCCTATGCATGTAAATATTGAGGTGTGTGTGTGTGTGTGTTCGTGTGTGTGTGTCTTATTTGTATATCTGGATATGGTTTGGAGTAAGGTCTAACTCTAGAGGATATCAGAAATGTTTGTGGAACTCACCCACAAAACATAAGTATGTTGTACAAGGAAGGGTCTTCTGGTAACGGCATCATATGCTGCAGACAGAGTTGCTCGCAACCACCATTGAATCCATCTGAACAATCCACTCCTATGTGGCGATCGTAGCAGCCCGTGCCGTCTTTCATGGGGCTAAGGCCAGGGGGACACTAGCAGAGGAAGAAGAATAGCAACACGAACCAGGTGAGCATAGATTTTATGCAGAGCAATTCCTTTGCACTGCACAGTACACAAAAGGGTTCATTACGCCCAACAGAAACATCACAAGTGTTATAACTGTATTGCTTGTTCCACATGCTCAGTTTATACAGTGAGAAGAAAAACTGAATTAGTGGTATTATTTCATCTTATCATTGGCACTGAGATTTGTGGTAGCTTCTTGCAAGTTTTCTAGTCAATTTCTGCTATTTAATTCTACAGTATCATTCACACTTTGATCTTACAATCCATGTTGCAGTTCCTTCCTGTTGCAAAAATCTCTTCATTTTCATCTTTACAGTTTCTGCAACCATTATTAAAGTGTATAACCTCAAATACACATCAACACCAACCAGGGTGATTAACAGTCAGAGCCAGCACTCTATTCCCTCCAGTCATTTTCAAGAGGAAGATGTGTTTGCAGAGAACTACTGTATGAACTAGGTGTTGCCTCGGGCTACCTTAGAAAACAGCCACACTCTGGTTTATATGCTCAGCCATGAAATAGATGAGATCTAGAGGCTCTCATTAAGTAGAAACTACTTTTTTCAACTTGTTTTAGTTTTGAAATTGCCCAACCTATAAACAAGTCCAACTGAAGTGAATTAAAGGGCTATAAAGCTGACTGATAATACCATCAATAAGGCTTTGCTTTCAAGTGGGACGTTTTGTAGGATAAAGTAGGAAGAGCTGCAGGCTTTTTCTCCCCTCCCCTTTCTTCTCTTTTGGCACATGTGGATTTCACAGAGGATTTCCATCCGAAATGTCTTTCCCCTCGTGATCCTGTGATGAAACTCACACAATAAGACACAGGTTGCTCGATGACATTAATTCTGCAATTTCCAGAACAAACGGTCCCCTGTAGGCTCACTAGACTCGCATTCTGCCCCATGTTGTTCCTCCTCCATCCATGCCAGCTGGAACGGCTACGCACAGGAGAATTCTAAATGTTTGCATAATGCCAGCAGTCAATGAGAAGACCCAGATGTTTGGGGTGATGGCAAACAAGCAAATGAGGAGCCTAGGAATCCTGCCCAGCACCCATCCTCATCAGAGTGACTTCCCATCTGGCTGACAGGATGTGCTTCAAAGTTAGGGGTGGACAAAAGAGACTTGAGTATATGTGCGTTTTCTACTGATTGATTTCTTTGCAACTCATGACTTACACAAGGGCTTAGGAAATTACAGAAACAAGAATAATCTTTTTTATAGGAATGCTTTTGCACGACTCCCTATTAAGTGATATAGGTCTTTGGCAGGAGAATTTGCAAGTGAATTGCAAGCTCAGCTTGCACAGGTAAAAATATAAAATCCGCGCCTTAATGTGATGTTGTCTCAGCTTTCCCCTGTATGCCAGACACAAATTCATGTGTTAACTATACTATAATTGGAGTAATATTACAGGGTGATGTTGCTGGGAGAGATTGGTGGCTTTGTTTTGTCTGCTAGTTTATTTCTTACAGCAATGTTTCTTAACAGTGGCAGCTTTAAGATGTGTGAACTTCTACTCATGTTGGCTGGGGATTTCTGGAAGTTGAAGTTCATACATCTTAAAGTTGCCAAGGTTGAGAAACATATACCACCACAATTTATTCCACACTAAAATTCAGAAAGACCATCTCCTGGGCCCTTTTTAGGAAAATTCCATCAGTGCCTGACAAGCTCTCCTTGTATTGCTGCTAGACTAGGTATGTTTGGCTTGTCTTCACAATTTATTTCGTATAAACCCAAATGGGACTTTTATAATTCCATGTTTATGGATTTACTTTCTTACAGAATAGATAACTGGATTCTCCTTCCCTTTCAGCTCCCTTTGGTTACCTTTTCAGTTTGAGAGTCAGTCTGATCTAGTGGTTATGATGTAGAATTAGGACTCAAGAGATGCAAATTCAGGTCACTCCTTAGACTTGGAAGCAGACTTGGGGGCAGTCAGGGTTATTTTAATGGGGGGGGGGAAAGAGTAGTAGTAGTAGTGTGTGTGTGTGTGTATGCGTGTTTGCTTCTAAATATATTTGCATTTGTACAAGTATGTTTGTATATAATGTCAGTGTTCCAGAAAGTCCCCAACTCCAAGTAAAAACTCCGAAGTTCCATTTTATTAAGAGTAGGTATACTGGCACATTTGGGAAAACCCGAATCTGAGGGCTCTGGGTTTTCCCTCAGTAAATCAAAACCCCAAATCCAGCCCCTTCACCCATCAGTCTGTCACATGGTCCAATCATCATCCGTCCCAACTTGAGCCATTCCTGCAACCACTCCTCCTCTAAATGCATAAACACCATGACCTTGACCGAAGGGAAGAATGCTATTATGTCTAACTATATTTACTCTCCTAAATCCCCCCTCCTACTTTCCCAGGCGCATGGAGTTGGCAGCGTGGAAGCTTCTGGTGCTAATATGGCTTCCAAAGCTGACATATACATTTGTTTAAAAAATCAAACTGCCTTGAGCACAATCTAACAAATTAAAAATGAATTAATATCCTTTCATGTTGATTTAGTGTTTAACTCAGTCAAACCATATTGTGAGTCATCAGCAGAAAATTCCAAGAATGGCAATTTTCTGCATCCTTTCTAAATTCCCACCATACTACAATATTCCAATCTCAGGATTTGTAGCCCAATTCATCTGAAGGAAAGCAGGTTGGAGAAAGCTGCAATATGTATCCCTATTTTATCACATTTGTTTCCTTCCCATATGCTATTTTTCAGCAGTCTTGCCAATTCCTTAGTACCAAACCTGTTGGCATAGTAATTCAAGAGAAATAGAAATATCCTCTGAAAATTTTAGCTTTTGTCACACAGTCACATTTATATAGACCTGTACTTTCCCCCCAAATTTAGTAAGTGTAGGATATTGTAAAAACTTGTGTCTTAAGGAAGCATCTTTCATATTTCATATCCAATAAAATGCTGTTGTAGACAATCCTTTTCTATACAGATGTTATGGAGTGCAATAAATTCTATACATTATTTTTTGTTATACAAGTCATAGGTGAAGATTTGTTGACATTCTAGGTATAGAGGTTAAGACACTGTTCCATTTGTCTGTGTGTGTGTGTGTGTGTATACAGTCAAGTGTGTGCATGTGTCTGTGTTGTACTTCTAATATACTATATATGTTTATATTTGTAACTTATTGTTTTAATAAATTATACCCTATGTTTTTTTGTATTTTTTCACTTATTTTTAAGCACTTGTTATGTATTTTTACAACATATGTATTTGTGTGTTTTGCTCCTCTTACTTTTTTCCTTTTCTGCTATTATTTTAAAAGCAATAAAAATATTATTGGAAAAAAAACCCTTGTGGACATGGTTCTCTCCAACGGCTGTCTGCTTTATCTCATTGCACCACACCAGCATTGAAACTCCAGAGAACAGGATTTAAGATTTGCAGATATAACACGTTGACTGTTCAAGACCATGATTTCTATATTAGATGTATTATTTATATGTCTTGTCACATCTTCCATGAATATTTCTACCTCACAAAGAGGCACATTGGAAATTATAATTATAGATTAGCACTGGATGAACAGGTCTGCCAGTTCTGCTTTCTCTCATGTGTAATTTTCTTTTCTTTTTCTTTCCTTCTTATTCAGTTTCAAGATCTTTCTGTAAGATAAACTCAGGCATCTCAAAGGAAATTCTTAGCCATTCTTGCTTGGTATTATCTACATTGACTGGCTTAAATCTTCAAGGTTCTAAACTTGAGGCCACAGAAGGCCTTTTTTCTCTCTAAAGATACCCAAGATTAAACTATGGGCCTCTTGCATATAAAGTAATGAGGTATGCCCATTCCCTTCAAGAATAATGGATGAATAAAACATTCTGGACTTTCAGATCAATAGGAAAGATATGCTGTTGTGTGTGTTTTGTGTGTGGAGTTTCCAGATCGTTTTCATACAATTAAAGGGGTGAGAAATTACAAGAGAGGGAAGACATTCCACTATTAAGCCAAAACACAAGAATGTCTGCAAAATGCATTAAGCATAATGCTATGCTTAAATGGAAAATGAAATACAGCTAAATTATATGCAAGAATGTGTCCAACTGCGAGACTGCAAAATTTCCAAAACTCAATTCTGCATCCCCACGCCAATCTTAAAATTTCATCATCAGATAGCAACAATTATCACTGAATTACTTTACAAGATTTGGCCACAATAGCAACATGTATTACTTCATGGATTTAAGGAACAGAAGCATCAAGAGGTTTTCATAAATGTATCATTCTGATATATCCCTAATATTAATTCATTGTTTAAAATGGATATAAATTTGTTTAAAACTGTCTGCTACTGACTAAAATGATTATATATTATCAGTTTAGGGTGTCTTGTCTATTATATATTTGCATTATGAAGCAAACTGTAATGTTAAGAATGTTTTATGCATGAATATATGAATTATATTATTAAATGTTGTAATTGTGTGTGTTGTCTAGCCTGAGTACTACAGAGAAGGGAATTCTATGTACAGATTCCTCCTCTTAATCCATACTTCTGCTGCTGTCAGCACAGACTCTCTCAGCAGCTATTTTAGAGGTGGCTGTGTAAAAATATTTCCATTTGCTGATCCCTTCACTAATTCTTTTACACATCCATCTTTGGCACAATGTCTCTCCCAGCACAAAAGCAGGTGAAAAGGGAAAATGTCAGCACTAAGACACATTCAACAGCTTCACAGTCAGAGTATGAAGCAGATGGATTGCTTTCCACCTATTTCTCATGCCAGCCCGCGTGCAAAAGGGGGGGGGGCAGGAAGATGTGCTGTGAGTCAATGAGATACAGTGCAGAGGTGGATGAAGGGAACATCTGCCACAAAGCACTTAGCATGTATTTCCTTGTAAGAAATGAAATTGGCAGATGCACAAAGACAGCAGGCAAGGAAGGAGTACACTCTAGAGAAAGAATTAATTTCTTGGTTCAGTCCCCATGTTACTGCTTAGTAGGAGAATGTCAAAGCCAAAACTTGAGGAAAGCATTTACATTTTCTGATCCACAATTCTTTAATGGCACTCTGTATAAGCACAGAAGCTTTCTTGTTCCCGTAAGAAGCAATCTCGGCTAATATAACATGTAGATTTTCTAAAGCTTAGAATTAAAAGATGCCTAGCCCACAGAGGTTATCCTACAACTTTCCTTTCATAGTTCAGTGCAATGATCCATGCTATTTTCCATGTTTTGTAGGTTCTCAGTTTTCTTTCCTGGAGGATCTCATAAGCTCCATCCAGTTAAGACTTGCTCAGTCTCCCTATTCCTTTTGACTTATTCACGCTTCCTTTAAATATTATCCATGCAATCTGATCTTCATTCTTCTCTCTATATAACCAGACCACCTCTACAAACCCCTTTTATACTGGTTCACTTCTATATTCAGTCAACATTCATTTATTGTTCATTCATTCTTGACTCTATCATTTCTTCTATCACATGCATAGCTTTTCAATGCATTCAACTTACATTTCTCCTAACTTAAGTACCTACTTGTAGTTGGTCGGTATGTCTGTTATGTGGCTCACTGGTAGTTCTACTTCATTAGTCTTAACTACCTTCTCTCTCTTAATTACCATCCAGCCACATTTCTCCAATCCTAATGTTCTCAGTGTAGATCAAGTAGATCAATGAGTTGATGTCTTGATTATTCTTAGCATAGTTTGATGTCTTTCATGCAGAGGAGGTGGCTCACAGTAGTTGTACTCTTAAATGTCAATCCTGTCCTTGTGATTATTTGGCTGAGAAGGTTCAAGCCTATGCAAAACAGCAGTAGGGACAGTGCATCACCTTGGTATATGTTGTAGTTGATGGTCACTTGTCTGAACTGTTTTGAGTTGACTTCCAGTATTGTCTTCCATAGTCCCAATATATTCTCGAGGAAGGTCCTTTGTGTTCTGTTGACTCTGTATGGAGCCAGGCATGATAGATCCATGTGTGTGGCATTGAGTCATAGGCTGTCCTGTAGTTAAGCCAGGCTGTGGTCAGAATGGTTTGTCTAGACTTTAAGTCTTGGCCAACTTCTGTATCTATGAACAAATGGTGTTTTGAACCTCCCTGTTGTTCCTAATGTGTCAGCTTGATGGGTATGATGCCTGAGAGGACCTTTCATGTTATAGGGAGGTAGGCTATTGGTTGGTAATTGGACAGTGCTGTTCCGTTCTTTCATTCATGGTCTTTCATGATCAGCACTATCCTTTCTTGTGTCAGTCTGGGTGGAAATCTGCTGTTAGCAGCTGGTTCATCTATACTGCTAGGCATTCATGCATAGCTGTTAGTTTATTTAGCCACTCTGAATTTTGTCTGGGCCACATGCTGTCCAGTTCTTCATATTCTTGACCTACTGTTGCATGTCTGCTACTGGGATGGTGATTGGTTCATATTTTGGGAGTTTGTTATGGTGTGTCCTCAGATCCTGCACCCACTGATGTTCTGTGTCTTCTCTGTCTCCCATATACAGTATTTTTCCAATACTGTTCAATTTATGTCAAGAATCAACCTTCAATTCCCTATTCATGCAAAACACTGCATAGTTCATGTATATTCACTTTACTACACACTTTCTCCAAATCAATAAATATTTATTATATTTTTCTCACATTCATATGTTTCTCAATAATTACTGAAGAGCAACAAGCTGATTTGCATACCACTTGCTCAGCATGAAGCTGGAAAGCATTTCCCATACATATCTTCTTTCCCAATATTATTCATTAAATCAAAATTCTGCCAAACATATTCTCAGGCACACGTAGGAAACTAACTCACCTGTAGTTTTTGCATATAAAAGGGAACAATGACTGCATTCTCCCAATGGTCAGGCACAGTTGCAGGCTTTGCACAACATTAAACAAGCCATATAGCCAATCTGTGTCAAAATTACACCCATATTTTAATGTTTTCTGTTAGATCTGCTGTTTTACCAATTCTTCAATACTCTCATAACATTTATTATTTCCTTTATATCATTTTTTTTTCTCATGGCATTTATAGCATTTGTTTCAATTCCACTGCTAAATATAACACAATTGTACCCATCCAAAAGTCTACAATATTCCTTCCAGAAATCCCTTTCTTCAGTTTTATCCCAATCACATTTGTTTAATCCATTCACTTTGCAAAATCCTCATACTGCAAACAGGCTATTTTTTTTTAATGGATTGGTAGACATTTGAATTCATAGGTTATCACCTAAAACACGATGCTATGCTAGCATACCATAAAATCATATGAATTTCTATAAAGAGGCTTAGGATCTGGGTACTTGCGGGACCACCTACTACCACCAATAGCCTCCCACCGGCCAGTACGCTCCCATAGAGAGGGTCTCCTCCGGGTGCCGTCAGCCAAACAATGCCGACTGGCAGCCCCCAGGGGGAGACCCTTCTCTGTGGGGGCACCTACTATCTGGAACGAGCTCCCCCCAGAGATACGGAGGATCCCGGATCTACGCACCCTCCACCACGCTTTAAAGACCTTACTATTTCACCAGGCAGGCCTGGCCTAATTTTCTCCCTCTTTTATAAAAGATTTTTAATTTTTAAATATCTTTTAGTATTTTATACATTCAATTTTAAATTGGTTTTAAAAGTTTGGGGTTTTAAATTTGTCGGGGCCAAAATTATTTAATTTGATTTTATTCTACTTTTAAATTTTGTATGTATGTGTTTTATTGTTTGGCTGTGCACCGCCCTGAGTCCTTCGGGAGTAGGGCGGTATAGAAATAAAATAAAATAAAATAAATAAATAAATAAAATAAAGAGCAAAAAGAACATTCTAGTAAAAAGCTTCTCCATCAGGGATTCTATTCTAGCACTACAGAATCCATCATCCAAATCTGAATGATAAGGATTTGTAGACTATGCAGCAGTAATCTATATATTCCTCACCTCTTTGATGGCAAAGTGTCCTCAATCCGGACATTTTGCATTCTGTAGTTTTCCTATCATTTTAAGGCCATGTAATAGAACAGATAAACCTTGATCTAAAGAGAAGCATTATACAAAGGACACTATCTCTGGAACTCCAGAACATTTTTTCTAATGGTTACATTAAAACTGCAACGTATTATGCTAATAAAGAAATGAATCACCCATTCTCAAGTCACTTTACATTCATTTAAGGATCTGTTTGTAGATTAAAAATACATCTACTGCAAATGTAAACTGCAAGCATAGGAACAGATGCTTGCAACATTCTTATCATGCAAATACACACATTAGGATGCGAAGTATAAATGCTTCTTCCTGCCAGGTGCATAGAGAGCATCAAACTCCGTATGTTAATTATATAGCATGCAGCTTCCTTTCTAGGTTTTCTTTACTCTAAAAATAAATTAATAGAGGCTCCCCTCCACCCATTTCTTTAACTGGAGGTGGTTGAGTGGGAACGGAACAATTTGGCAAAGTCACTGGAGAGAGAAGTATTACATTTCCTTTGTCCTATGTAGATCATGATCTAGATCAAGGCCTTGAAACTTTATTTGGAGCAGAAGAGAACAAGTGAATTCCTCCAGGAATAATTTGTTAAAAGATTGCAGAGAAATAATGGGGCGGGGGGGGGGGGGTGAATCATGGGGTAATTCAAGAGCAAATTTGTTTATCGTTCTGTCATGACCATTCCTCCCTTTTTCCTTTTCTTTCCGACACACTCAGTTTCCTCAATTTCATTTTTGTTCTCTTTCTAACAATATCTTCCATCTTATCATAGCAGGGAATGAAAAGAAAGCTCTTATTGGAAGTCTGAACTTAAGACCATGTAGTAAGATAGATGAATAAACTTTGATCTAAAGAAAAACCATCATACAAAGGACACTATTTCAAGTTCCATTTACATTAAATTTGTATCATGCATTTTGTATCCTCTTTGCAATTCATTCTAAGCAGAAGTGAACAACCTACAGGATGGAGGGCAAGGGCTTTTGAAATGATATTGATGACCACATCCTGTAGGTTGTTCACTTCTGCTTAGAATGAATTGCAAAGAGGATGCAAAGTATATGGTACAAATTTAATGTAAATGTAACTAGATTCTCAGGATAGCAAGCCTAGCATATTCTCAGGATAGCAAACATATAATATGAAAGACAGCCTTAAATACATGTTTACAAATGTAATAGAATAAAGAACAGTTACAGAAGTTAATGTTCAACACAAAGCTGGAACATAGCATGTTTTCCATGGTTTTAGTTCTATTCTGTGAGCAGAAAACTGGAGTCATCTTAGAAAAATAAAGCATTGTGTTATGCATATGCTTCTTTGCGAAATGTATTACAATATACAATTTGTACTGATCTGCTGTCTTAAACAAGGCAAAGCGAGGATCTCAGAATTAGTTTAAATCCCGAAATCCTCGATTTGCCCTGGGTAAGGTAACAGATCTTCGTATGTTGCATGAGGATGCCATAGAATTATAATGCTCTGTATCAAGAAGCTCAAATCCAAGAGAACTCCATGTGTCAAGGAACCTTTTTGTCTTATTCTTATCTCTCCAAAAGGTCCTTTCATAATTCCATATCAAGCGCATACGAACCATACATCCAGTGGAGTCCAATTTTCGATCTGCAATGCAGCGGAAATTCTTGCTGCAACCCCCATTATCCTTGGAGCAGTCCCGAACTGGGCCAAAAGAATCCAGGAGAACCTCCAGGTTGTCAAAGGAGGAGGAAGTCATCAGTTCCTCCCTGCGATGTAATGAAACGTATTTGCAATTACAGTAACACTTATATGTTAATAAGACAAAAAAACAGTAATTCAGAACGCCAGTGGTTCAAAGATCACTGATGAGTGATATAAACAGAAAAGAGCCTGAGACTGATGAACTGTAATTCTTCCCATTTTTCATTAACTCTCTTGAACAAGTGTGATGGGAATCAACCCCACAACAGAGGCATAAGGTTCTCCATTGTTTGACTGAAAAGCTTGCAGTTTAAATTGTTACTATAAAATAGAACGTGATAAAAGGCACAGAAGAGGCAAAAACAAGTGACCAAGATAACATGAGATTAACAAATCATTAATGATCACAATAATGATTTATACAAAGAAATCTGAATATATACCAGATGACTTACAATACTGGGCTTCAAATTTAATTCTAATTGATTGAGGAATGTGTTTCTTCATAGATTTTGCACATTTATTATTAGAAGTACACAGAAAGTACATTTGCTTCTTTAGTATGCCTATTTCTTTGACAGATCGCTGATAAAATGATTCAGAATTTTCCTTACTAACCATAAACTTGCACTGTTTGAACTAATGATTTCAGAGTATAGGTCCTGAGAGTTATGGTAAAATGTGTACTGTGTAAGTTTAGAGTGGAGCTTTATTATGTTAAAGCTCTATGATTATCACCAAATTCTGTCCAAGTACTTTTCCCCCTTTTTCCTTTTAGGCAATCATAAAATATCAGTCAATTCTTTTTGCAACTGATGCATATAGCATTGCAGAAAGTTTTCAGAGCCTGATGTAGTATTTACAGGGCTATCACCAAGATGAGTGAGAAATTTGATTGATTCCCATTTGATACAAGCTTGCCAATTCTGCTATTTCTGAAATAAATACATAGATGAGAAAGGACTCCTGTGGAGAAATGCTTCTTTCTCTGAACTTTGCAATTTAATATCTTCCCCTCAAAATATAAACACAAAAGGATTGCTTGGGGAATACTTTTAAAATGCTAACAAATATTTAAGCAGTGTTAGTTTTAAAATAAAACAATCAAAAGGCAAAAATAAATGGTCAAGATCAACTTAACGATATAAAAATCAATACTAAAGCTGAAGTGAGCTTTATAGATTCAGTCATTCCTACCCACAACTATATTATTAATGTGATTGGTTGGAGAGAGTATGAAACTAAGTCATTCTGTATGAATTCTGGCTTCTCGCTTTAAGAAGTGAGGTAGGTAATTATGAGAAAGAGAACTTCTCAACTGCATGGACCTTAAACACAGGAGTACTGTATGATCTTCAGGCCAGTGTTGCAGATCCATACATTAAGGTGATAAGTCAATAATGTATTTGAATTGATAGTAGCTTCTATTTCAATTGAACTACTTTTCTGGTTTTGCTTTTAGATTACTCCATCTTTGTCCCATGATATATGCCACACCATAGTTTTAGGAAGATTTTTCTAAAATGATAAACTTTCAGATTGTTTCAACAGAAAAGTGACATTCTATATATAAATTTTGCATAACTTTCCCAGAGGATATTTCTTATTAGGCAGGTTAAAATGTTAATCCATTTAAAGATATGAAATAAAAGCTTTAAAATAAAGCAGTGAATTATTCCCTTTTGCTTATTTCCTAGCAGTGAAACTAACTTGACATAATTCAAAAGTTCCCTAAATAATTTCTCTGCTCCATTATCTCATGTAGAACAAAGGAGGAGCACTGACACTTTCCAGATGTCCCCTCCTGCCTATTACATTTTTCCAAATGCCATACTCCAAATGTAGGAATATGATTATTAGTACAGAAATAAAATAGAGCTGGACCAGCAAAATGACCATCTGTACATAATTTTATATAATTTACAGCATCTGGAACTGCACCATTTCTGATGGGTGATCCTTTAGCAGAGACTCATTACTAATAGGAGTTTCTTTCTCTGCCATGCATAATTTCCAGGCATTCCAAAGATTCATCTGTGAAAGAAACATACCTGACCTCTACAGCATCCTCCATCACTGTCATATCCGTTTTGCACTTGGCTGATGGATTGATGGCCAATTCAGCAGGTGGGATCACAAAGCTTTTGCTCAGAGGCAGCCACATCCCTTCCCCAAGAGTGTAGGTGAATCTGCATCCATAGGAGAAAGTTAATCAGTTAGAAATCTATATGGGAAAACACAAGAAATTAGTATTTTTCTACGGTATTTATTTCTGTGCTTGCAGAGAGAGGTTCTTTAAATTATCTTGATCTAGTCTGCAATTCGGTTACTTCTTTCTCTCCAATCTTATTTATATATCCAACTCACATATGGTGACTCCTTCTACTCCATGACCATAAGGCTATTTGATTTGATATTAAATGCAAATTAACATTATCTAGACAATTTTTCAGTTCTATCATTTCAAGGTAGCAAAAAATGTGCCATTGAAGCCCCATGTACGTATCTTATTAAGTGTTATTTCATTTATCTTTTTTTTTTTCAGTAAGGTGAGAATTCTGACTAGAAGAATTTGTAGGAGACATGCATAGGAGAGGAAAAAAGAAATAGAAGTTTGTTTTTAAGGAAAAAACAGTGCTTTTTAATAAGCAGGAAACAGGCATTGCCACAGATAGTGACTGCAGGAAGGGGTTCTTGTTTTCCCTTTTTCTTGTATTTTTGCTCTCTTCCCTAAAACAGAAATCTTCTCCCTTATTAGTAGGCAACTAGCCACGGTTACTTTCCCACAAACCATGTAAACCCACACCAGGGAGAGAGGCACAAATCATGTCATCAGTCCAGGAGCAATTGTACTACAACTGAAAGCTAATATGAAGAAAGCTCAAAAAGAGAAATTGCTCACCAAAACCGTTTTGTTCAGACATTCTTATAAAAAGTTTTTATGACTGCTATTTTACCCCAAATTGGTTTTTTTAAAAAAATAAAATTTGAACTAAAAATCCAAAATGTTGAACTTTGCATTCAGTCCTTCGAACAATTACTGAAATTTTCATAAGGCAATAGCAAGCTATATACGGTCATTTGAGAAAATCTAACTTAGAATTCATATTCATACTGTTTCAAGTTTAATTTAAGCAAAATCATATAAATTGCTGGGGAACATCTCTAACTGAAATCCTTGGACGTCCTCTTAAATAGCTCTTTCCCCTTACTGATAGCCCACAACCAAATCTGTTGAATTCTACCTGAATATCTTGTCAGAAGGCTGTTCTCCCAGCACCAAATCAAATCCCCGCTGGAATATGGTATATGGCCATGGCCTGGAGAAAGGAACAATTATAAGTGGACCAGATTTTCCCAATTATTTCATGTATGGTTATTTGAGAACCTAATAATTGACTCAAGCAGTAAACCCACTACAGGTATCTATATCAGAACAGCTAAAAACAAAAATGTAATAGGCAATTATTTCATATATTAGAACTTCACAAATACATATTTGGTTTAATCATTTTACTGTCCCACACAAAAAGGAATAGAGCTGAATTCTTGTAATTGCCTCCCTGTCTGACACTATATAATAGCAGTGACATTTTAGGCAAGGAGTATGATAGTCTCCCCCAGATAGAAAGGGAGGATTTACTGTAGTAGCCAGCACTAATGTACTTCAACACTCCCCAGGATCAAGACTGAGCATGTGTTAATAAAAATCATCTTACAACATGCCAAGTCCCACAGACATTAAATGCTAAGCCAAGAACTTTCATTTTTCTTCATTTATTTGAAGGAGGAGCTCATTTTGGCTCCTTAGATCATCTCTCTGTGATGCTTAGGCCAGCATATAAATCTTTGTTAATCAGAGAGAGACCAATTAGAAACAAGGGGGAGTGTGGCCAGCAGGAGCTCTTGTAGAGCTATAGAAGCTCTACAAGATTGTTTTGAGTGCATTAATTGGAACATAATTAAAGAGGCTGCAACGAATGGACAACATACTGATGCCAATGAATATCCTTCTACTGTGTCTGCTTATATGCAAAAGTGTATGGAGGATGTTTGTGTTCTTAAGTCTTTTATCATATGAGCAAATGAGAAACTTTGGATGTCACAAGAGGTCCGTGCGATGTTGAAGGTGAGAAACACCACTTTCAAATCAGGTGATGTGGCAGCACTTAGAATAGCAAGAGCTGATTTGAGACATGCTATAAAAACAGAAAAGCGAGCCTGTAGTCAGGAAGTACAGAACTTATTTCAAGATCCTATGGACCCGAGATGTATGTGGCAAAGTATTTGGATTACTACTGACTATAAGGCCATGTAAGGATGGCCTTGGATTCTCTAAACAAGCTAAATAGGTTTTTTTGGTTGGTTTGAGGCCACAAACAACGTTCAAGCAAGGAAGGTTGTTCCCCTCCATGATGAACAGGTGCTCAGGCTTGATACAACTGCTGTTTGGAAGGTCATGTGGAAAGTCAATACTCAGAAAGCTGTGGGTCCTGATAATATCCCTGGGCGGGTACTTAAGGAGTATGCTGACCAGCTGGCCACTGTTCTCACAGACATCTTCAACTACTTGTTGCATCAGGCCATGGTTCCATCATGTTTTAAGATTGCCATCATTGTACCAGTGCCCAAAAAACCTATCACCACATGCCTTAATGATTACCAACCAGTTGCACTCACTTCCATTATGATGAAGTGTTTTGAGAGATTAGACTATATGGTTTCATGCTTTCCCCCTACATTTCACTCATTACAGTTTGCCTATCAGAAGAACTGCTCTATAGATGATACACTTTCCTGTGTGCGTCATCTTAGCTTGGCACATCTGGAGGAGAAGAATACTCAAGTGCGAATGTTGTTTATTGATTTTAGTTCAGCATTCAACACAATCATTTCTCAGCATTTGGTGAACAAACTGGGCCTATTATGTTTTAATACTCCTCCTCTGGGAGGAGGTTTTGAAGTATTTGTAGCAGGACTATCTGATTCTGTAACATCTTTGTTCCCTATGCCATCCATCTGGTAAACTCAGAAGATTGATTTCTCTCGCCATGTACATCCAAACTAGGCTGTGTTTCTCCATGTCATATAATATATGTGGATACACACATAATTTTGTATTTTGTATTTTTTATTTAATTTTGATTTATATGCTGCCCTTCTCCAGAGACTCAGGGCTGCTTACAATGAGCTCAGCAATAGCCTTCATCCTTTTGTATATTTATACAAAGTCAGCTTATTGCCCCCACAACTGGGTCCTCAATTTACCTACTTTAGAAAGGATGGAAGGCTGAGTCAACCTTGAGCCTTGGCGAGATTCGAACCTGCAGTAATTGCAGGCAGCTGGTCTTAATAACCAGCTTAATAACAGGGTGCCTTAGTATTTATTTATTTATCTTATAACGTTTATGTTTATATTAGAGGTGGAGACCCTTTGAGAACTGTATAAAACTTAATTTCATTTTAATGTGTGCTGATTAGTGTACATTCAAAGAGACAATAAAGTTATTCTAAGAGTCATGTCCATCGCCATCGAGAAACATGCAACTAGGTTTGCAGAATATAAAACTGAGTTTGTGTATGTTATATTGTATATACGTATACACATATGCACACAAATACATATAAATATATTTCTATATTTTGAACATACTGTGAAATTCATTTTCATTCATTTATGCAATATCTTTACAATTTGAAATATGTACTATAGCACTGCATATTAAAAAGAAAGTACCCCTATGTTTTCTATACCATTAGCTTACAACTGAATCAAGAATATTCTTTAAAGTCAGTGTTAAACACAAATGTGTTAATATGCAAATTAGTTCCTTTTATTAGAACTGTAATAAAAATGCATCTAATTCTGAAGGATCAGAGAAATAAATCAACAACTGCATTAAAACATACATTTTGCCAATTTTTCAATTTTTTACTATTTATTTATTAATCAAATTTATTTAACCATCTATCACTGAAGACGATTCTGGGCAATGCCGTTTTTTAAACTATGGTTTTAATAATGAATCTAATCTAATTTAAATTAAAACAAAAACTTTAAGGAGAAAAGATTTCAACTCCAAAATAATTGAAAAATATTTAGGCTGCAAATTTTAGCTTGGTTTGCTTTGAACAAAAATTATATAATTTATTTTTGCAATAAACGATTATATGTTTATGCTTATAAAATCTGGTCCAAGTCTGACTCAAATCTGGAGACCACTTACTTATTAGTAGTCTATATAAACAAAGACTTTAGTTAATATATAAAAAACAAATCGATTGTACTATTGCTAAAAGGAGAAGGAAATTAATTATAATATCAAAGACATGGCCAGGTGCTGACTGTGGAATTGTGGTTCAGAATGAATGAATGAATGAATGAATGAATTAAATGAATGAATGAAAATAAATAATAAATAAATAAATAAATAAATAAATAAATAAATAAATAAATAAATAAAATATGCTTCAAAATTAAGTCTCATTGAACTCACAGAAATGAACAACCTGACCCCACTGAAATTCAAAATCAGTCAGTGTTAAATCCAGTTGCAAAACCTGTCAAATAGGATACAATCCAAAGAATCTTGGAGGAAAAACTACCGTTACAGATTTTGGTATTTTTGGTACTGACACATGCACTGGATGGAACTCACAGGACAGAACATGGAAGAAACAAACAACATATTTTTTCTGCAATGACTCTAACACTCTAAAATGGGTCCTGTGCTCTGTAACTATTATCTCTGCTACCATCCCTCAAAAGAGATTTTCTCCCTGTGCACAATGAAAACTTAGGGACTATTATACTTGCTTTCTTAGAGGACTAATAGACAGATGATCATTCTTCACTTGTTCCATCTTTTCAGTCAATATCTTTCTGCCACCTGTCGTTTATGCCACTTTGTTTATCTCCTATATTCTTCTCCCTTTAGTGCTTCTCTTTTCTTTTCCTTTAAGTTCCCTGCAGGTTGCTTGGTAAAGTGATTCTCTGCCTCTTGGTGAGTATTTTAGCTGGCTACTCTTTATAGTTCACGAACAAAAGAAAAGCCGATCAAATGCAGTTCAGTGTCTGATGAGGCTGGTTTCATATTTTACTCAAGCTATACATTCAATCCGTATATAAAATTGGTGACTAATGTGGTCATGCTGATCAAAAGAAACCAGACCAGTTTTTCCACGAGTTACAAAGCAAAATGTGAAACTTGGAATTTTAGCATCTTAACATTATTTCTATTTAACTATACATCTTAATAGTTGTATTAAGAAACGGCCTGCAAATGGGTTAAAAAGTATTTTTACATTGGAAAAAATCCCTATTATATTCCTTCCAGGCACACTTTTCATAGCACACTATCTCTAGCTTCCATGCCTTTAAGCCTTTCTCTTTTCTCAGTTGATCCTCCTGCATTCCACATTCCAACACTTAGTAAAAATTATTTGACATTTTAAAGAACAATCCAACTTTCAAAGTGAAAGTTATAGCATGGGAGTCTTAAAATGCAGCCTCATGAAATGTCAATGAAACAATCATGATCAAAAGAAAAAGAACAACTCTGTAACAAAAATGTATATGGGAATGGATCCAATATCTCCTTAATTGGATGACAACAGGTGGAAAAAAAAATCAGTGGAATAAATGGTTTGAAAACAAGACTGAGCAGAATTCATATGGATGTATTTTAATTCATAGGATTTATTCTAAGTTCAGAACCTGGCTGCCTTGGACAAAGAACATAGGAGATTCTGAATGCAGAACTGGAAGCTTTGATGCTTATTAATTTATCCTTAGCTGCATGGGAAGTGTTTTACTACAAGCTGATTTCACAGCCTGTGTATTTGGGTTCCTGTTTGTGGCCTCTGGTGCTATGGTTTGTTGATTTGTTTTTTTTAAGGCACTGTACGTCATCCAGAATAACTTTTGGGAGATCAGTGGACATACCAATTGTTTAAACAAAAATTTGATAAATATTTAAAATATGCCTACTGTTCCCAAAAGCTTGAGGACTCTATATTAAATTAGGGATGGACAACTCTATGAACAACAACATAGCTAGGCAAACTTTCTTTTGCAGAGCAGCCTCTCTTCTCTACACCCTGTAGAAAAGGTTCTGTTGCTTGTATGTACTACTATAGCTCTAGCAGGATGGAACATGAAGGGATGTGTCAATAAACAGTGCAAACAATTAGAAATGGGTGTAGGCAAATCTTAGCCTATTCTAATTCTGAACAATTCATACCCTAAGAATGCACAATAATTTGAACTGAGCCCAGAAGCAAAATGATAACACACACACACACACACACACACACACAC